GAATTATCTTTATGTACTTACATACTTGATTTTATCTGTTTTGACTGTTTCTGCCTCATTTAAAATGTAGAAGTGGCTGCATTTAGACAACCCGATATAGATGAAAATCTATATTGGGTTAAATAATAAAATAAAGTTGAATTGGGATCTAATGAGGATTCAGGACTTTGGAAAAAAGGCTTCTTTCTACCAGCCAACTGTTTAATGCTAGTTTATTTTAGTTTTGTTACAGTAACATTACAATAACACATTTAAGCAGAATTAATCTGCAGTGGATGATGATGAAGTGAGTAGGAATTATGAGGTAGCCTCCTGAAAAATTGTATTGATTGCTCAAATCTTCTACTTTTAAGTTACTGTTTTCTATTATTTCTTAATATCAAATATTGAATGGCTGTCTTCATCTTGATGAAGGTTAGTGGACTGTGAATACATCAGGGATGTGTTGTATTTTATAAATACATTACAATGTTGTTAATGAACCAAACCAAACAAAATCACGTGTCAATGTGCTAATGATTTAGGCATCTAATCCCATCATCATCATCATCATCATCATAGGATGCATCCTCACCAGGATCACATTTTAAACTCTTCAAAATAAAAGCAGTGGGTGGGGTTATTTTAGGAGCCTGCATTCGTAGCGACCAATCAGAGCCTCGCAAGAGAGATGCACCTGAGTTAGCTGCCAAAGCGAGAGGCGGGCCAGCTGTATAAAACCAGGGGTTCTGACATGTAGTCAATACACCAGAAGTATTCTTTCAGTCGGACTTAGACGCTCCCCATCTCACAGGAGCAACCATGCACCTGAGCGCGTACGAGTCGTGCCATTCCTTGGTCGTACTTTGCATCATGCTGAGGAGTTGCCAAGCCCTCAAGAACGACGCCACGGAGCTTCTGTTCTCGCATGTGAGCGCGCAGGTGCCGGAGGTCCAGAGCAACGTGACCCTGAACCGCGCACGGAACGGCGGCAGAGGAGCGGGCAGCGCGGCGCACGACAGAGGCGGTGAGTGAGGAAGCTTCTTCCTGCGGAGGACAGGAGGATGCTGTCAGGGTTTCTCATAACGCTCCTATAGTACTTGTTCTGGGACTATAATGTGTGTGGGTGGTAGGTCTACTCTAGACTTTGTACGTAAATCTACTTTTTAGGAAAATGTTCTGTTACTACTAGAAGCTTTGTATTTTATATTAGTCTATTTCCTTTTATTTTCTGACGTTAGTTTTATAGTCTATTGCGTGCCATTAAACAGTCATGATATTTGATTACTGTCTTTATAGGATTTGGCTGTGGATCACTGTGGTCCTATACCTTATTTTTTATTAGTTTATGTAGCCCAAGGTGCAGGAGGAACAGATGAGAAAACAGAACTAGCAGAACATACAGTTCCCCAAGCACTTTTAAACACTATTAAATTTCTTTTTTCTTCTGCATTGAATTGTGCATGCACGTTTAAGAATCAAATTTCCTCTGTCTTTGTTTTTAACATCAACATTTCAAAGAGCCAAATGTGGGACCTTTTAATCATGCACTTAATCCCATCACCTGCACATTCTTTAAAGAGATTGTAGATGACTTGTGTCATCAAAAACACTTAAAATATCATCATCAATCCTGCAGTTACAGAACAGCAAATAGATGTGAAGTATTATCACTTTAAGGTCACTATAAACGTATTAATGAGTCTACAAGTTACTATAGACCACAATAATACCCTCACTGAGATCACACTGTGGCTCAGCGGCTGTAGACTCCCAGCAGAGACTGTTTCCCTGCCCGTCAACACTGTGAGTTTAGGCAACACTCAGTGTAACATACACCTGGCTGGCTGTCCTCCAGGCAGGGATGAGATGGGCCGAGTAGTCGACCGGGTGTCAGGGCAGCTTAATGGAGGTGTTCTCCCGTGAACAGGAAGCCTCAGATCATGGTTCTGAGCTCTCCCAGCAGCCGACCGTGAAGGAGAGGGAGGGGGAGAGGGAGGGGGAGAGGGAGGGAGAGAGGGAGGGAGGGAGAGAGGGAGGGAGGGAGGGAGGGAGAGAGGGAGGGTGGGGGAGTAAGAGAGAAAGACAGAGCCTCACCCCTGTTCATTCATCAAACACTGTCACAGAGAGGTGCAGAGGGGTGTGGGGAAGGCATTGTCACTGAGGTGTATGGAGTTGTGTGAATGGACCTGAGCTTGGGTTACAGTGGTAGAGGGGAGTGCTGGGGGACAGTGTTTGTAGCCCGCAGCAGAAATATACTGCAGTCGGAGCTGCTGCTCAGAGGTAATCCTTGAGTTAAATCCCTGCCACACTGATAAAGAGTTTTTCCTTTGCACATGTTGTAATTCCACAACTGTTTGATGGATAGAGGTCAGTATGTTATTGTGCTCCTTCCCTTTCTGTGACTTGCCAGAGGCTACAAAGGGATAATCATAATCAAGATAATGTACAGGATAAAGGGCTGGGCAGTAATCCAATATTATAATGTAATAACCTTTCAATATCGTGATGAAATGAAGATGCTGAGTTACTGTGATGTGTCATTTTGTCATCTCAATTGGTGCTGAAAAGGACATTTTAATTCAAATCTCAGAATACTAAATCTTAATTTTAGCTGCAGCAGCAAGTCGACTAATCGATTAGTGTATCTGCAAAAAATGAATCGGCATCTATTTTAATAATCTGATAGTTGATTTAGTCATTTTTAAAAGCAAAAATACCAAACATTCTCTTAGTTCAGCTTTTCAGATGTGGGGATTTGCTGCTTTTCTTTTTCATATATGATAGTTAACTGAATATTTATGAATACAAGACATTTAAGGACGTCACCTTGGGATTGATAATGAAAAGAAGTAGTTCGTGCCTTATCTAACATGATTTACTACACTGCCAGATTCTTCTTTCTTACAATTGTCATTGTGTCTTTCCACAGAACGAAGTCAAATCGGGTGCAGAGAGCTGAGGTCCACTAAGTATATCTCAGATGGCCACTGCACCAGCATCAACCCTATCAAGGAGCTGGTGTGCACTGGCGAGTGTCTCCCAGCTCAGATGCTTCAGAACTGGATTGGTGGAGCCTATAGCAGGAAGATTTGGGGTCGCCGGAGCAGCAACCAGGACTGGCGATGTGTCAACGACAAGACCCGTACCCAGCGCATCCAGCTGCAGTGCCTAGATGGCAGCACGAGAACATACAAAATCACCGTGGTCACCTCCTGCAAGTGCAAGAGGTACTCGAGGCAGCACAACGAATCGGGCAACAAGTTCGAGGTGCCGTCTCTGTCACCACCGCAGCTCCTGCACAAGCACAAGTCCAAGAGCAAGAGGAGGCTGGGGAAGAACCGGCTGAGTGAGAACTGGCACGAGACTGAACCCTGAGAGCATGCAGACTCTGAATCCACACAAAACTACAGGAGTTTTGTCTCTGTGACATTGAGACACAATGCCCAGCGACAGTCGTGCAGTCGTGGACTATCTCTCAATGTGACTGGGACCTGATTTAGGTGAAGCTGGTTCCTCACTATAATGGAGAACTCCAAAGGGCATGCTATGGACTTTTCTTGACATTTTAATCCATGTGGTTAAAGATAATGTGAACAGAACTGAGATGTACAGTCTGCAGAGTTTTCTGAAGCACGGGGCCAACCCACATTGTCCCAGATGTAGCCATGTGCATGCATTCCTATATTCATTATATGTGCATATGGAGAGCTACAGTCAACTGTTTAGGCAACAACACCAGTAAACAATACCAAACATCTAAACAAAAACCTGTGTACATACTTGTACATATATCTAACTTGCCTTTTGAAGTATGGCCATGTGTATAAAATTTGACTATGCAAGATTTATGATGTATGATGTAATATATTTTCTGTGGCAACATATAATATGATAGGTTTTGCTTAAGTGACATCAGCATGTGGGTGAAAACTTACAAAACTTTGTCATCAACCAGTCTTGTAATAACTTTATATGAAATAAATATCACTTTTTATCACATGTATTGTCTGTGGAGACTTCATCATGTTTGACGCTACACTTTACCATGATGCTACACTTTACCATGATCTACAGGAAAGAAAAAACTTAAATATCCCAATATTGAAGTTGGAATGTTAGCTAAGACTTGGCGATTGATGAAATTTACCTAGAATAAATAGTATTGTGAAGCTAAATAGATGTAATGTGGAAGAAAATGTCTCACTTTTTACAAAATTACCACAATCTCCATTGCTATAAAAGACATTAGGTTGAAAACAAACTAAAACAAACTCAATTTTATTAAAATAGATGAAAACACAAGTTAAAATGTGTTTTCTCTGCTTATTGTAAATTGAAAGATTTAATAAATCAATCCAATTACTGCTGACATTTTCTACCATGTTGTTCAGTACAAGTTTTATGTTTTAGTGGATTTTTGGCAGGCAGAACGCCATAGAAATATTACATTATCCATCTTATAGGAACTGGTACTTTTCTTAGGCGTAAATATTGCCATTTTTAGAGTTTTCCTATTTCCCCCAACTACATTTCATTTTCAAACATAACACATGCTATTCTTGCAAAAAAAAACTTAACCCAGGGTGTACTGTTTTTTTTGTCAGACTGCTGTTTTCAAGCATTTACAAGGTCAGAAATTAATTTTCACATTCACTTCTACTTTTTACTCCATTATTTATCTGACAACTGTAGTTTCTATTACTTTGCACGTAAAGATTTATTTTAAAGAACAGAAGAAATGAAAAACTATCAGGCACCACTTGTGCCACATTTAAATTGCAATAATATTGCTATTGATACTTAGACTACCTGTGAAATCGACACTTGGGGACAATTAAGTTAGTTGTTATGGATCATTTTGATTGTGGTGTTATTTTAAGTAAAGTGTAAAACGTTTTTCGCCACTACAGAACTAAGATATTTAAAATCAGTGTAGTTAAGGTTACAGACTAATGAGTAAGCTAATTTGTGGTTAGGTTAAAAAAAACAACTAGGGATTTTATTTTGAAATCATTCGCAGGAAGTTCGCCGTTTAACTGTTCTACCTCAACAGCGCTGTTTTCCCAAATCTCCGTCGACAGTGCTTCTTCTTCCCACCCCGCCCATTTCGCTGGGAATGAACAGTTTTTGGGAATGACCTGCCGTGACCTCTCAACCGCGAACTGATGGAGGTTAACCGCATTAACACGCAGAGTGATAACTGTGACCCGGGCAGGCCCACTCATCCAGGGATTTTCCCAACCCACGAGGCCGGGAAGAGCGACCACCAGACGGCGGAGCGCAGCGTGGACTTCCCGGTGTCTGTCGTTCTTCCTGCCGGTGGCACCGGTGAGAGAACCGGACTCCAGACACCTAAACAGTTCTGCTCGTTTCTGGGTCGGCCGCTTATAAGCTACACTATCCAGGCTTTCGAGAGGTAGGAAGAGATTTAAATAGGAAAGGATACGTAATTTGTGAGCATATCCAGGTAACTTTACAGGTAGAGTGACAGCAGGAGATTGAAACAAGCCTCACTCAATCTGGACTTCCTCTAACGGTCCTCGTCTGTCCCCGCAGGCTGCTCACACATTTAAACATTTTATTTTGATTGCAGATTACACAGGTGTTACTAAACCCATAACTCACATGAGTGATTTCATTTTAGGAAAATTTCCACCTTTACTGCACTACTTTATTAGAAAGAAATATTGTAGCTGTTCCAGAGATTTATTCAAGTACTGTATTCAAGTAAAATTTAAAGATACCTGTTGTACTTTTTACACCACTACATTTATCTAATATCATTAGTTACTAGTTACTTACAGATTCAGATTAATAATACAAAATATAATCAACACATCACACAATGATTATGTGAAATTATAAATTTAGATAAAACTTTATGGATACCCAGGTTTAATAAAGTATATTAAGTAATTCAAATGAGCCCCATAATTAACAGCTTCAACATTGCATCAACAATCCAATATAATATACATTATTCTGAAATGGGCCATTCTGCATAATGAGCACTTTTACTTTTGGTACTTTTGTACTTTTAAGGAAGTCAAAATCTGAATGGAAGACTTGTAACACAGTAATTCTACACTGTGGTATTGCTACTTTCCTGCTTTAAGTACAGGAAACTACTTTGACCTGTACTGTGCATATGAACCTGCGAAGGTGTGGAAAATGCTAAGCGGTCATTTACATCATCGTCTTGGAGTATGTATTTTCATATCGCCCATCTGCAGATGAATGCAGAAATCTCAAGCATAAATATCTTAAATGTTGAGCAAAAACTATCTTCATGTCAAGATGTGACTGGAGGTAAATGAGAAAATAGTTTTTTGCAATGTTGGTGAACGGAACCTTTTATACTTGCTTATACCTGTTTACTAGTAGGTGCACCACTAATGCACCTTGTAGCTCTGGTTCTGTGAGGTTCTATGAAAAGCAAGCTTACTTACTTACTTTTTCCTAAATTTTGAATGCAGTATATCACATTTAGGTATTGGCAAAGGATTTGAGCATTTCTACCACCAATGGAGGACAGACTGTAATTTTATTCAGATTTTAGGCTCCGTAACTGTGAAGAGAAGGTGGATGTTTACACTGAGTTGGGATCACTGCCTGACCTTCATTACAACGATGCAATAACAACCGGTGTTTATAATCAGATGTGTCTCCTCTTTGTTGTCAGTGTTTATGTGTTGTCAGGAAATGAATGCAGCAACATCCTGGGACTAGACAGCAGAGGGAGATACTGCCTGTGTGGCCCCCATGATTATGGAGAGGGGGGTCATAGGTCACCAGTGTCAGTGAACAGTCAGATCAATAATCCAAGTCTTGTCTACTCATAATTAGGGGAATGTGATCTTGTAATTTATTTCAATACAAACTATTTGAAATAGTCACCATGGGCTCTGGGAACTTAAAACAAGGATTTGTCGACTTTGTTCAGATCTTCTAGCAAAAAATAATCAATAGATTAGTTGCAATCCTGATTCCTAAATGTAAGAAGCTCTGGGTCAGTGTTATGCTCTTCCTATCTTCTCTGTTTTTTTTGACTTCTCACCTGACAAAACAGAGGTTGCTGAGCGACTGGTGTATTCTTGCAGGGTGTCATGGATCCAGAGCATTGTAGTCGTTGTTGCCAAAGAAAACATAGACCTGATGACGGATATCATCCAGCGCTTCCAGCACAGGAAGGTTCGAGTGGTGCCAGGCGGCTCGACTCGTCACAGGTCGATATGTAACGGAGTCCTGGCTCTGGGCGAGGGGAAGGAGGAGAGGCCGGTGGCGGACAGACCAAAGGTGGTCATCATCCACGATGCAGTGCGGCCTTTCGTGGAGGAGGACTTTCTCTACAAGATAGCCATGGCTGCCAAAGATCAGGGGGTCAGTAAGATAAAGCTGTTTTAACTAAAACACTATGGTATTTGGAGGGATAGGAACTTAGTCTTTAGCAAGGTGAAATCCTTCCAACATGTTATATCTGCTGCTTTTTTTCATCTGCAGCAAATGTGTTTTTTAAATTAGCTTATTTGAACTGTGGTAATTAATCATATCATTAGAATATTTGCTAAATTAATTGGCTTAAATTTTAAATTAAACTACTCTGATATCTTTCAATCAAAAACGCCAAATATTCTCTAGTCCTCAGTTGCGAGGATTTGCTGCACTGTTGTCTGATATTTATTTATTTTTTTACCAGGAAGTCCCACTGAGATCAAAAATCTCTTTAACAAGAGAGACCTGGCCGATGTAGCAGCCCTACAGAAATACAACATAGAACAGAATAGGTCCCAAAATGGAACCCTGGGGTACCCCTTTCTCAAGAAAATCAAATTTGTGGCCCTCTGCATGCACAAGTCCGATCTACAAAATAATTTTTAAACCATTTAACAGAAACCAACATTCCTAAGTTTGTTCAGCAGCAATTCATGGTCCACTGAATCAAACACCTTGGATAGATCCACAAATAAGGCAGTGCAGTGCTGTTTTCAATAAGAGTATTTATCCCCACCGTAGCAGCAGTAATGGTGCTGCTATAGGCTGCAAATAACAATTTGTTTTTCTATTGATCTAGTCTATAAAACATACAAGAAAAGGTGAAAAATGTCTGTCCTAGTTTCACTGAGTCCAAGGTGACATACTCAAATATCTAATTTGTCTGGTCAACAGTTTTAAACCCCAAAATATAATATTAAACAAGTAAAAGCAGAAAATCTTCACATTTAATGAGCTAGAACTGTCAGATGTTTGGCATTTTTGCTTTAAAAGGGCCTCAGAAGGTTAATTGACTTTCAAAATAGTTGACAATTCTGTCTATCAACTGATCCATTAATCAACAAATCATCGCAGTTCTAGTCTTATATAATATTAAACTGAATTTAAATTTGTGTTTTGACTGCCCTCAAACAAAACAAGGCATTTGAAGACATCGCCTTGGACTCCAGGAAACTGGAATGGATATATTTCACTATTTTTGGGTCTTTTATTGACCAAAAAATGTATTAAGATATATAATTGGCAGATTAATAGCTAATGAAAATAATGATTATTTGTAGTCGTAGACAAAAAAAAAATGTCAGTAAATCCTGGGAAATGGACATTTGTGACTGTTTTTGGACTGGAGTTTTGAAAGTTTCAGTACTAAAACACACGCTCATTAGAAGCCCAGATTTCCCACTTGTCAAGTTGTGACTGTGATGTTAAACTGTGTCCAACCTGGAAACCTTGCAGATATCTGGAGGATATAAAAATAATTATTTTGCAACAAAGTACAACCGACAGGAATCAGTGGAAAATGGCCTTTTGCTCACTGCAAATGATCATTCTGCCAAGAGGAAAACAGTTCAAAGTCAGAAAATGTTGCAACTTGGAAATTAAAAGAATTTAAATTATCTGTAAAGCTCCAAATTGTAAATATGACTTGAAGCTCAATGGATTGTCAGTTTTTCCAGTAGCACGTAGAGGCAGGATGTGTCTATTTCCAAAAGAACAAAGAGAATCGTAATCCCTCTACAAATAGAGGAAACAACCCCAAAATGCCAGTTGTTCCTCTTGCTTGGAAAGCGTAGTACAGCTAATTAGACCTAGACTGTAGCTCATACTTCATTTCTTCATGTGATTTTTAGCTGAAAACCAGAAAGTTCCATTATAGCTGTACACAAATCCATCATGGTTAGCGGCAATTTACAGCGGCTGGAATCAAACCTTTTACCTGGTGGGATGACAGGTTACCAAAACCAAAATGTGGTTTATTATTCACCGTGCAGTGTGAACATAAATAAACCAAGATACAACAAAGTCAAGTTTTCCAGTGGGATTCAGACCAAAGAAGACAAAAACTTCTTGTGATCACACCTTAAACTTGCCCCTTTCCATCTTATGATAAACTGTTTGTCAGATTGACCGGTCCATCGCTCCTGGTGGTAGCGTTTATTTCCCCAGTGATAGATGGAAAACATAGGGCCAAAATCACGGCTGCTGTGACGAACACCCTTGCAGATTAGTCTCATAATGATTCATGGCAGAGACTCAGCAGCTGAGAGAAGACTTTGTTGAATGCAGGTCACACAGGTTATGAAAAAAGCAAGCGCTCCCTGACACAAGGCCGACATTTATGGTGTGTGCTTTGCGATGAACTGAGCGTGTGTGCTTTGCGATGAACTTTCGCAGCAGGCGGTCTGGTCTTCATTATCTTGCCAGTGTCCACGCTCGTGGCAGAAAGCCTGTCTCCGCTGAAAAGCAGCAGATTAATTTTCATTTTAACAGCATGTGTAACACGCAGAACACATGTTTGCTTTCCTTTCATTTGCGAGACATTTTTCTCGCACACGCTCTACTCCTGGAAACTGCCTTCAATCATGTTAAAGTGAGATGAAAATATTCTCTCAGAAATGTTGATTATTTAAAAGGGAGGAAGTGCAAGCAGTGCGTGCTCCAGCTGTGCTGAAGATGGATGTATTGTAACTGTGTAATATGGCTGCTGACTCAAAGTATTATGAAGGAAATATTCTCTCTTTGAAATGTGCACTTGTGGCTGATCAGCTATACCAATTTATTTATTTTTTTTCACTCAAACTTATTTCCAGATTGAAACAGCATGATTATGTTGCACGATAAGTTCTAAATCATGATTTTTAGTCTTGATTATATGAAAGCCGAAATACGCTGCAGATTTTAGAGCTCATACCAGCATTTGATCATTTTCATCTACAGTGGGCATGCAAGTGAAAAGTAGTGTAGGCATGTACCTTACTACATGTAGTCAGTTAATTTGCAAGTACAGATATTTGCTGTGTCAACAAACAGCAACTCTAAATGTGACAGACTGATTTCAGAGCTTACCAGGAACTCCAGTTCTCAGATTTTCCTCCCAAAGTTTTCCTTCCTGTTCATATCTCGGTATTGAACATTTGTCTAGTTAAACAGTTTATGATCACCGCAAACTTTTGGTCAAATTGATTAATTTTCAAATTGATTTGATACACCTTCACCACATTTTATGCTGGCTGTGTCTGCTAAGAATTTTCTACTTTCATAGTTTAACTGAGGACATCAAACTGTATCTATTTATAATCAAACTGTGAACTGACTATCATTTCACCCCCAAGCACCGAAATATCAGTATTTTTTTAAAGAATGCTAAAATCTTGGTACATGATTTCACAAGATTATTTCATGGTTTGCTTCTTTTTGAGAGAAGCCTTGTGACAAATTTGACCCTATAAATACTAAAAACTAAAACTGTTTTTTTCATCCAGGCAGCAGGAGCCATCCGACCTCTTGTTTCCACAGTGATAGCCACCACATCAGAGGGCTACCTGGATCATTCTCTGGAGCGAGCCAAGTACAGAGCCAGCGAGATGCCTCAGGGATTCACATACGATGTCATATATCAAGCCTATCAGAGGGTAGAGTGTGTTCTTTAATTTACCTTTAACACACAAGTGGACGGTCCTATGTTGTTAATGTGTGTACGAGGGTGATAATGACCCTGGAGGGTGTTATGGATTTAAAACAACGATCAGTCCATTCATGATGAAAAGAAACACAAGGACGGCATCATCTGTGAACGTCTTTGGTGGGATATTTATCGTGTGGAAAATGTATGGCTGCAGTCCCAGCAAGTGATGTTTTGTGAATTCTGTTAATCAGTGAGCAAAGAAGCGTAAAACCTGCAACGTTACGCTCACTGTGACTGTAGCCAGAAGGAGACTAAGAGGTCATTGGCTGCGGGGGAGGGCTACGTTTCTGTATTTGAAAAGTAATAAGTTTCACTACAGCTTCACCCTCCTGTGGCAGTCATCTCTTTGTGACAGCCTGTAAATTAGAGTAGTCCAGTCTTTGTCCTGTTTCCTCAAATGTGAGCGATGTGCACAGTGAAGCACATTGTAAAAAGCAATCTGCTTGTGGGTTTTAAAAATCCTGGCTGCTTTGATGTAGGCATGATCTCTGTCTCTCTCTCTCATCCCACTCGTGCTAGTTGAAATTATGGCTGGAAAGTTTAATATCCACAGATATTTAAAATAAGAACATATTAAATAAAAGTGACAGAAACAAGCTAGAGAGAGGGGGAACAAATGATAAAGCAAAGAAACTAAATGATACATAAATCTATCTATAGGTCTGTCACTAGTTATGAGATCATTCTGTGCAAATGAAGAGGTCAAGCAGCAATCCAGGGTTCGTGCAGAGCACATGCAATCAAAAGTGTGATTTCAGCAGCTACATTTGTGAAAATAACTCATAATATCACAGGATGAACAAATCAAGTCCTTCAGGCATGTGCCGCATACTCCTGGTGTAAAATAATTGCATAAAAAACTCTCAAATCTTATGAAATGACAGGTTGAGATTTATGCTCCAAGAATTACACCACTTAGATGACAATGGACTTTATGATTCTCATACATCATAACAGGCCTTTACACTCCTTCATTGTTCAGCTGATGTGCCAGAACCTGCAGGGTTTCACTCTTAAGAGCTTGTGGCGTGGGTGCTATCATTTTCACTTGGCCTCTGCTACGTCTGGGAAAGAAATGACATTTTAAAATATTCTGCCACACTGCAGCAGATTAGTCTGTGGAATAAAAGTGAACAAAGGCTGAGTTGGAAAAATGGTGAGAGAAATTACATGCCACATTTAGGTGGAGTCGGGTTAATAGTCTCAGCAGTTGAGTGCGTTTTAATATGTGTACCTGAAAAATGGAAAGAATTTCTCCCCTGATGTAGCCGTAAATGTGTTGATTGAGGCTTATTGCTAGGACTTGGCAGGCTTATCCAAGCCAACTTAATGTGAAACTTGAGTTGCAGAAGTTGACCTTATTTATTTTTAATGTCTTTAAAAAAATAGTTTGCTATTTCAACCTTGACTCCATTAGATTGTTCTTCCGATAGCCACGTTTTTGAAGGGCGCAGCAAACGTTAGCTAAGAGCTAAAGTATGCCTCCAATTGGAGCCCCATTTGTCTGCAGTTATTTTTAATGCTGGCACATACGGATCTTCAGATTGCTTTGAGAGCCCTGTTGGCTTTGGCGTTGGCCTTTTCAGAAAATGAGCTCACATTTATGCTGCAGTGTCAAGGCCAGTCAAGTTGCGAAAATTAAGACAAATTTTGGAGGTCGCTGGAGAAAGAGAAGGTTGGGGTTGATTTAGAGGGTGTCCCCCTCTCTCCTCCTGTTGTTCTCCTCTTCAGCCTTTCAAAAGATAGGAAAAGTGTCAGGTTAGGACTGTAGGACATACTCATGAAAAATCTGTGTGAGCTGCACATTTGTAGCTTGACATCCATTGAGAAGAGAAGAACTTAGGGCAGAAAAGACAAAGGGGGAGACACTTTATCCAGTCCCCTATGAAAGCTTTTGTACTGGGAGAAAATGCTAAAGGTAAAATTACCTCAAGACAGAGAGCGTATTTCTGCTGTAATTTCTCTCTTCAGTTCCAGGGTCCCTGGAATAAAAGACCCCTCTCTTTTATAGCTTGATAAAATATTACCCAGGTATAATCTCAGGTAGCATAGATTAGTCTTTGTAGTCCTCCTCATCGCCTCAATCCAAACTTTAATGTGATCTACGCGAACTGAGCTTCTCGGGCTGTGATCAAAGACCAAAACTATGTTCACTGGTACTATAAAGTATAACTAATCGTAATTAAAATTATTTACTGATGTTGATTTTTCCTTCCCAAATCGACATTCAGCTGATTATGACCGACCTGCACCTCTTCCCTTCCCCTCATTTGCAGCCAGAGTCACGCATGTTATTGTGTAACAGGTAATCTATCTTTTGTCGATTAAAAGCATCAAATTTGCATGTGTAGCATTTCCATGTAATGAATTTTACTAGGACCACATGTTTTTACCTACTAATGAGCCTTGGAACAAAACGAGGGAAAATAAAGTACTGGAACAAACAATGTCGGTGGAAAAGAGGCAGTAAAGGACAAAACCATTTTATTAGTTACTGCTTAAACATTTAAGATAAAATTATGTGTAAATAACTTTATACTGTATGCTGATTTTTTCCATCATCCAACACATACATTTCTGCTGTTGTTTAAGCATTTAGATTTAGAGGTGGACTCCAGAGGAAGCAGGGAACCACTACAGGATCCTGAAATAGATCATGTAGCTCCACCCAGATGAACAATTTTTAAATGAAGTAAACATGGAGCAACTGTACTCGCCATCACCACCTAAGATAATGTTTTGTCATCAAGCCCATCACGTCTTGCAGAAAAATGTGGGAAAAGGCCTGATAAAACCAAAGTTCTTAGAGATAAGAGATATTAGTGTTACAGGGCCAACAGCCAAAACCAATCAGCCAAAGAAAACAGTATCCTCTGAAGTGTTTTCTGAAAAATGTGGTGATGGCAGCATCATGTTATGAACCTTTTTCTCTTCTGTTCTTCCAGCTCTGTTCACGTTAAAGACAGTTTATAAAAGGCTTCAGATATTTAGGTGAAATACAGGTATGTGCAGAAAGTTTCATATCTCAAGGATGACAAGGTGTTACTCAGAACCAAAAGAACTTAGTAATGTCTGGACAAAAGAAGAGCGGGAAATCTGAGAGTACATAGCAGGTGAAATTGCAATTTGTCTTAGCCGGAACTCTTCTGAAAATAACAATGTGAGGCAATTCTTAACTGCAGGTGCACTAACTAGATCTTTCTAAGCATACTTCAAGTCTGATTTTTGGCCCCTTGGAGATGGGCCTAAGCCAATGTTGGTTGTTGGTTGGTCCACTGAAGGCTTTGGCACAGAGCAAGATATCTCACCAACCATTGGCCAAACTGCCATGAAATTCGGTTTGGAAAGTCATGATCCACAGAGGATGATTCCTTATGAATTTTGTGACCTCCTGAATTTTAATCATCCCTTGGAAATGACTGTCTTGATTACAATAAAAATGTTTTGTGAAGGTTGTTGGTCCTACAACGTTTGTTGGTCATTTAGAGACCCCTTTTACTCCAATGCGTAAGTCCAAAATTTACCACATTTACACAACACATGTCAAACCTCAAATTGCAGACTGATGTGAGATTTACTGAGCATATTCATGGTCTCCAGAGGATGAACCCTTTCCATTGTGGAGATTTTCCCTTGCAGCTCCTTCAGACCAAAATCTTATTGGCAGATAACCATGAGCTGTTAGCATCCCATTGAAGTTGCCAAGTAAAGGAAATATCTATTTTAAGTTGCACAGTCTGTATGACTGCAGAGTGTACAGAACTCAGCTTCTAGGCTTTTAACCAAAAGCAAGTTTTAGGCTCTTTGTAGGATTGATCCGATTAATTGTAAGGCTTAATGAACTAGCTGCAGATTATATTTAGGACCTTAATATATATTATGAACCTTTGCTTAGTTTGAAATCTTCTGGTAGGGGTCTTCTGTCTATTTGTTAGTCCAGGCTGAAAAAGGGGACAGATCTTTCCTGTCAGATCCACGAGGCTCTGAAATAACCTGCTCAAGGATATTAGTCTGTCTGAGTCAGTGTCTTTTTTTTTTTTTTTTAAAGTTCTAAAAACACTTTTTCTTGGTTTTCATTTACTTGGTTTTCATTTCATCTTTCTCTCTGTGTCTCTGTGAAGCACTTTGTTGTTTTGATAAGTGTTTTATTATTATGTGATGGACTGTCCAACCTAACGAAATTTCCAAGTATGTATACAATTTTTTTAGAGTTGGTTGCAGCGACTGGTGTAAATAACAGTGTAAATGGAAATATTTTGTTGTCAACAATTGTCCACAGCGTCTCCTCTCTGTTGTGTCCCCTCTGCAGTGCAGTGAGTCAGACTTTGAGTTTGGCACCGAGTGTCTCCATCTGGCTCTGCAGTACTGTGGCACCAATGCCAAGCTCATCCAGGGTCCGCCAACACTGTGGAAGGTGAGCTCGCCAGGGGCCTGGTTTGGTTTTTGGGGATTGTGGATTCAGTAACATTTTGGCTAGCACAGATGTACGCTCGCTGCTGATTTATGAAATGGGCACAAACAAATCTCATGAATTGAAAGTGAGGGGTGCTGGAAAAAGAGGAAGCACTAATATATTGAACGTGACATCCAGGATTAGCATGTTGAAATTAGTTTAAATGTAAATGTTCTGTACTTAACCCTCTATGAGATCATGTAACTTATTGCCTTTAACAGGTAGTTCACCCAAATTACAAAAAGACATATTTTTCTAGTTCATGGAGACAGTTTTTGTTTTATGGGCTGAGGTTGTGAGATTTCTGTCTCCACACCAATATAATGGACATGGACAGAATTTTGTTTGTGGTGCCTGTGAAGTACAAATCTCCTTTATGCACTCCTGTATGAGCCACGGCTGTATTTCAGACACAAGTGACACAAACATGCTACGAGCATCATCAGCACTGCAAACTTATCTGAAATAGTTTCTGGGCCATGAGAAAGTACTTTCCACAGACCATAGAGTTATTTGGCATCAGTAACAATATAAGAGGAACTCAATTTAGGAAAAGGAGGCAAAAATATACAGTATTTCAAAAAAAAAGAAGCTAATATTAGAGAAATTCTGTAATAAAAATGTACTGTACTTTTGTGTAGCAGATTGCTTTTTTTATTATTTCCTTTTTATTTTTTTTACTATAGATGTATTCCATGGCAAATAAGTCTGGCATTGGGCCAAATTTTTTTCAAGACGTCACATGGCAGGCCAGAACATAGTCAAATTATTTAAAATTCTTGAATACTCATGCACGTTTAGCTCCGTCAGTAGTGTGAGGGACCCCCGTTGGGAGGGTTGTATGATCGAGGCCCAACATACTGTGGATATTTTTTTCTCCCTTGTTAAACAAATTGATTATATGGACACTTCAGCACATTTTCATAATAATGCAGTGTGTGTGCGTGTCCCTGAGTTTGATCCACATTCATAAACCTATGGACACTTATTTCCATTTCCTTGAGGAATTCAGGGGAATGTCATCACACATTTACTGACGGCTTTTTCAGAGGTATGTCAAGCAAGCCAGAGACTCTTTGGAATGTCCTTCAGAACTTTTCAAAGTAAAAGCTCTCAATAAACTCGACATAAAGTCTTGCTACAAAAACGTTCCTGGGCTTTTATTTTGGAGGCACAATAACTGAGGAGAAAGTGAGTATGTGAGTAACTGTAGCCGTCATTTCAGCACCAGCCGCTATCAATGTATTTATTTTTTATTTTTCTGCTATCAAAGCAATCTGGCCAGATATTATTGCTGGCGGGCGAATTCTGGCCTGTGGGCTGCCCATTGCCGACCACTGGTCTAGAGTGACTGGTTTCTGGTAACTCAACTTTGCTCAAATGAAATTCCATCCACCTTCAGTGTATTTTTCATGGACCGATTTCCCAAAATCTTGGCATATTAAACTAAAACTATCTGCATGGCCAGAAACATATATATATATAAAAATGTTGTTTTGGCTAATTTGGTTGAACTGATCCTTTAATTCCAAGATTTTTTTTGTCCATCAGGTAACCTACAAACGGGATTTAGCTGCTGCAGAGTCCATTATTAAAGGTGAGTTACTTTCTTTATACACTACACACATGAAGTCTCCATGTAGACATGAATACACGGAAGTGTGAAGGCAGGAGGTCTTCTCAGACAGGTTAAATGAATTAGTGGTGTAAGAGTTTTTGTGTCTTTTTTGTGTGGTAGTTCAGAGTTAGAGTTGAACCTCCCCTCACTGTACTGTAGAGAAATTCTTTGTAGCATTGTTCAGCTTAGTTGGAACAGGACTTCTCTAAGCAGTCTGTGAATACTACGGAGAGCATGTCAGGACAAGGGAGACTATCACCATCAGAGAAATGGAAATAAACACAGCCCTATATTTCAACCCGCCGACACCTGGACCAACAATTACCTGTTTGATGATGACATAAGGTGCACAGTGATTATTCCCAGAGCCTCTGATGTGAATGAATTCATTGTGTGTTTTTTAGAGAAGACGTGGAAGAAAGTTGTCACATCTGTCATTATGAGAAACTGCTGACTATTTCAGTTGGTGTGTTTGTGTTTCTGTGTGCGCACACGTACTTGCAGGCCTACACATAGCCTTGTGTATCCTGGTTGGAAGTGTGTGTTTGTGTGAACACTTACGAAGTGATTTCTCAATATATGACTTTAAGTGAGGCAGCCATATTTGCAGCAGTGGCTGTTATGAGTTGATGTTTCACCTAGTACAAGTTGGCCAAACCATCAAGTTTGGAACTTAGCATACTATAGTGAAGTAGGAGATAAGTAAATGCAGGTCCCATTCATTTGTCCTATAGACAATGTGACGTAACAGTTGGAGCACGTCTACAGCTTGCTTCGGCATTGATCTCTCCCAGTTAAATCATCAATACAAAACAACTGTGTTAGAAAATATCTGGTTCCTTCATAAAAATGTCAAATGTACAAGCCTGTATAAACTTTGAAGCAGATGTTACTTACTACTCCAAAGGTGCATTTCAGCATCAAACATCGATCTATCAAGTTAAAAATTTGGATAAAAGGTATTGAGAAAAATAACAATGGACCTCTACTGATGGCACCTGACTAACTGTTAAAATAATTGTAATGTAAAGTTTTGGCAGTTTGTGTTCATGCAAATTAATGCAGAAGGCAATTATCACAAGTGTTTTTAACCAGTCACGTCTTTTTCTGTCAGAGACTCTTTCGCAGTCGGCCTGTGTTATCACAGGTGGATCTGCACAAGCAGTTTCACTGGCTGATGCCCTCCAGAAGGCTGTTGGAGGTCTGGACATGGTAAGTGTGTGACAGTCACAGCTAAAATGGTGGTTATGTTGATGACAGCATAACTGTAGATCCCCATGAGTTTACCATTTTTATTTTCCTCCCCGTCTTTGTACCTTCAGTCCCCCCCCAAACTCAATGTGCGTTCCACTTGGGTGGCCCGGTGGTGGGACCTGCCATCTGCGGTCAGACCCCTAATGGAGCTTGTCTGGGACATCCACTCTCTACAACTTTCCTCCTCCTCATTTTTTCCCTCCATCCCCGACCTCCACCTCTCACTCCCCAGCGTGCAGGAGAGCAGATGGCAGTCATATTTTCTGTATTGTGGGAGTTTGCTTGATTAATTGAGTGCTTAGTGATGAGTCCTACCCCCTCCTCACACTCTTCGTTTTCATTCTCCTACCACTTCTGCTGAGTCAGATTTGACAAGCTGCCATGCTCCACCATAGTTCATATCCCTGCCTTTCACTGTTAATCTTTTTTGGGCACATCAAATGTCCATGTTGCAAACATCCTCCATTTAATTAGTGTAATTATTTCTAATAGACAATGGAAACCAGTATCCACATGCAAAACAGTGACTGAGTGACAATCTGAGATATTCAGTCAGACAGCACAGACCACATAGAGGTTCCACATGTGAAGTGCTCTCCTTTACCTCAACAACTGTTGGGTTTCCCTTGAGCAAGCCACGTAACCACTGACTCAAGCAAACTTTCTTTAAAAAGAAGAAGAACAATGAATGTCACAAATATAAGCTTTGTGACTACAAGTTTTAAGCAAATCTGTGTTTACAACAAGAAAGTGATCACAAGCTACTGGCAAGTTAGGATGGTTGCAGCAAGAACAAACAGCTACAGGGTGTATTGTGTCATTTGGTTTGGGAAGCAATGAATATAACAGCTCTGCAACAAATACTGCCTTTGTGTGGCTTAAAATGTTTTTGGTTGTCATCAGGAGAATCCAATATGTGTAGGCCTTAAAAGAAAATGTGGTTTTGAAAAGTTAGCAGCAGGCTCCTTTTTGTGAAGGACAGCAGCTTTAGTTGTCTTTGATTCACTGCAAGTACAATTGACCGATGGCGACCCAAAGTCACAGCAAATAAATGTGTCACAAAGTCCTTAGAAACCTCTAAAACCACTCCTAGAAATGTGCTAGAATTGACCATCAGCCAATTATTATGCAGTTCTCCTGGAGATGAAGATGGAAATGCAAAGTAGTCAATCAGTATTGAAATTGATATAAATGCAGTATATTTTTATTTTATTGTTACAGAACCTCTGATGTAATTCTGAAAAACAAACCTACACCCTTGACTGAAAGGGGTTCATGTCGTTGTTCCTGCTACTATGTTCTGGACATTGGGGAACAACATATAATGTAATATAATATAATAATTTTGTGAAGCAGCACCAATTTCGGGCCTCCAAAGTAAGGATAGAGTTTAATCAACACTTCTCTAACACAGATTAACATTATAAGCTTCACGTCTCAGGGATTTGTATTGGATCATGTGAGATTGTACAGGTGTTTATGATATTGTGTCTATCCTTTTATGTGCTTATATTTCATGCCCATCACCTATTAATTTCATCCAGAGCAGACACCCAGGCTGACAAATCACCTACACATGGCTTCATATATACGCGTTTCCTGGATCATCATGTGTGTATATATCTATTCCCAGTGTTTAGCTGTTGACAGTGGAAGGGGGTGGCAAAGCACAGTGCATTATCTATTTTCATGTTCCACCGTGATCCAAACCGTCCATCCTCCTTTAAACTTGCTCCAAGTCCTTCATCAGCCGGTTTTAAAGGGCGGAACTTGCTGTCCGGTGCTGGATCAAGCCCCAGAGACGGATTGGGGTTGGTGTCGGTCTCTTTGGATCGGCTGATTGGAGCCATTCCCGTCTGTGCTCAGGTGGCCGGCGGGGCTGTGTTTTTCCGGTGCACGTGTTCGGAACCAGATACATCCTTTTCAGTGAGTTTGGGAGGGAGGAAGAATGAAGAGGGAGATGAAAGGCGAGTGGAAGAAGCGGAAGATGAAGAATTACCTTTGTCCCAGTGCCATTACGTGAATCTAATACAGGGATAAGCAAGGTTGGGTCGCCCAAGCTCAGCTGAAAACTGACATTATAGTGTGTGTGTGCGCGCGCATGCAGATGGAGGATTTGGCAGCATGTGTGAGGAAGAATAAGACTCTGCAAAGAATGTGATTAAGGGATTCTCTCAGCAGGATGTTATCTGAGAGATACATTTGATGCAGTTTAAATCCAGGCTTACAGTGAAAAAGGAAAAGTTGTCAGTTGATGTAAAATTTATAGAAAAATGAAGTTAACTCCTGAAAATACCACATTCCAGGAGCAAGCAGTTTTTTCTTTGAGAGCCTTTTAGGTTTATATTTTTGCATCAATGCCCTGTTCAAAGTCACACAGTCACACACATACACACATGAAAGCTGCTCACCACACCCATTTAAAGCACTGAGCAGCTTCACTGGTTCATTTGGAGGTTAAATGCCTTGTTCAAGGGCACCTCAGTGGTAGTAATGTCTCAGTGTTTCTTTCTCAAACAGACAATGTGCCAATATTAAAATCACAATATATAATATTTTCTTTTAATGGAACTAAAAATACTCATTTTTAAACCTATTTCATTGTGAAAAAGGAAAACATGTCAAAACAGTTTTAACAAAAGTAGTTCAGCAAAATGTTGTGCAATTTAAGAAAATCAGGTTTCTTCGTAATATAAATTGTCATGATGTCCTTTGTGATGATATGAATCAAATAGTTTTTACAATCTCTGCTCTTTATGTGTTGATGCCGCTTTGTAGCTGAGAACAGTGCTCCTATTAATGGCCACAAATAGTTATTGTGAACAAGATTAACCGGTTAGCTCACCTAGTAGAGCATGCACACCACCAAGTCTTTACTCCAGTCTTTACTTTGTTGCATGTCATCCCTTCTCTCTCTCCCACATTTTCTGTCTCCGTCTTCATAATTGAAGGCAAAAAGACCCTAAACAAATCTTTTAAAAAAGTTTTTGTGAAAGTTTAAATGGTGTTATAAGCATGAATCTTCTCTACAGCGTTAAATTGTGAGTTCAATAAACCATCTTTAGTTTCAGTTACACTTACAAAATTTCAGTGTCAGATGTATAATTTGTTTATCAATTATTCAGATATTGGTCTTCAATGTATTTGGTTCAAGGGCTAAACCCAGACGTTAGATGTTTTATGGGCAATTATTGCATTAAAAAAAGAGGCCAAATCACCTCCTCTGTATTCTCTCCCTTATCATCAATCCTTTTATCTTGATGTATGATAATATTCTCATATCCAGCCCAGATCAAAGATAGTCCTGAGACTCATGTATCAATATAGTGAAGGTTTTTAATGCTTAACCTCAACCTATATGAGGATCTGTCATTTAGACAGAGAGCAAGGAGTAATCCTGAGCAAACATCACCCCAGAAAAAAGCTTTTTTGTCTGTCAGCCACTGATGGTAATAAGTAATGGGTCCCGAGTTATGCGAGCAATTTACAAAAGTTTAGAGTATAGACTTGTCTTGTGGTAAATACTCTGCCATTCTATCTGCAGTAACTGTGGTTGTAGTTGCTGTTAGTTTCCCATCTTGATGCCACCAGACTCAAATATTAAATAAAGTAAATATATCAGTTAATCATTTCCACATAAGTTACATATGGCCCATGATTTGTGTCATTTTCTTTCTTTCTCTCTTATTAAAATCTTTTTCTGCTGCTCTTGTCCACCAAAAACTTTATTATAAAGCCAACAATGTGTATCTGATATAAGGACAGCAATGCAGGTCTGTCTTTCAATATGTCCAAACCACTTTTGATGAGATTAAAATATCTCCATGCCATGAAATTTTGTACAGACATTCATGATCCCCAGACAATGAAGCCCACCAACTTTCCCTGACTACAATTGGATGCATTTCCATGATATTTGGTACACACATTGCGGTCCCCGTTAGGGTCATCCCTCAACTTTTCATCTAGCACTATCATTGGGTCGAAGATTTAATTTGACCAATACTTTGATTTACGACCAGATACCTTTACCAATACCAGAATTAATCACTTCACTTCAGCTTCAACTGCACATTGTGTTTAGTGCGATTAAGCAAATATTAGCATGCTAACATGCTATAAACTAACATGGTGAACATGGTTAACATTATACCTACTAAACAGTTCTGACTTTAGCATTTACCTCAAAACATCACTGAGCACAAATACAAGAACATAGAGCTGCTAGTTTGTCTTGTTAAAAAAATTACAGTGGCTGGTGTTCAGCAAATGTTACATGGGCTTAGATCTTAGCCCATGTAACATTTGCTGAACACCAGCCACTGTAAGAGATGCTGAGAAATGAGATGCTGGTAAATCGCAAAGAGGTAGTGTAACAGTAGCACAAGTGGAGAAGAATCATAAAGTCTGCAAACTGAGTCAGTAATGTTAGGTACACAACAACATATATGTAAAGTCAGTTAACATTAGCTAACATACACTACGAGTTATCTCGTCAAACCCCTGACTGTATTGTCAGCAATTGATTCAGCAATTAATACTTTATACTTATTTTTAATTATTGTGAATTTAACTTTTTATTTACTCTTGTAAGAGTTACATAGTCTTCCTTTAAAAGCTACACTAATCTATATTTTTACCTGCCCAGCACCAAACGGCAGACAGATAGCATCTAGCTAGCGAACAAAGTGGATCATTTAGCAGCTAAAGAGCCAGCAATTTCCTTCATTGGAGATCAAACTAGAGATAAAAAAAGAGTGATTATTGGACTTTCATTTGTCAGGAGGCCATAGTTTTTAAAGGGAATTTTTATGTTTAAACACTGCATTGCATATAATTCGACCCATCCTCACTAAAATAATGTCATTTTGGTCTTCTCCTGAACACGTTTATTGCGCAGGTAGCTGACTGCTCTGCTGAGCTCTGAAACTTTGTTTTCCTTGTGTCCTCAGAGTGGTTTGGTCGTCGAGCCTCTGTGGCTTCTTGGCTCTCCAGACCATGCCTAAATTTAAATAAACATTTCTACTCTGGGATTTCATGCCCAACCTGGTTTAGATCATGTAAATTTTTTTAAACCCTCCTAATCTACATTTCGGACTGAAACAATTTTCCTCCTAAAGCCATGGGCAGTTATCTTTCAAGACCAATTAAACCTCTGACATATGTTTCCCATATCCATTTCACATTTTCATTTACTTTCTGTTGTTTTAATGGGTAGAACAACTTTTCTCAATGCCAAACTCAGATTCTGGATGTTTATATCTGTTTATTTCCTGTGTGTGTGAAATTGTAGTACCAGGCTATAATTAGAGGCACAACAATAAAGATGAATTTGAAACGGACATGGTGGATACGGCGTGCTATCTGGATGCCTCATATCACCCTAAGCCAAAGCTGAAGCTGAATGGAAAGATCAGGACCTCAGTGTCCTGGGTCTTTGAGCAAAAAAGCTTTTACGATTTTTGGCTGTACATTGGCCTTTGACTCAATTTGCAGTGTAATGAAATTTAAGTTGGTTTGTGTCTGATCGTTGTCCCTGGCTTTTGCATATGACAGAATTTTCCTGCCAGTTCAGAAGTTTAAAGGAGCCCAGAAATGGTTTCTTGTTCTAGTAAGCTTCTGATTACAGTTGATGGATACTCAGTTGCGTACTTCCTGAATGTATGTAGTTTAATATGTAGATTTTTTTTTACCCCTTTTCTCTAATCATAAAATCATGGCAGGTAAACAGGTGGGTGTACTCTCACACTAAATGATTGAAGAAGTGGCTGAAACAAAAACCAGAAGTCTCTTGACCTCTTGAGCACTAAAGTCAATCAGTCACTCGACATCATATGCAATAGGACCCTGGTGCTGCAGTGCTAAGTGTTATCACTCAGGATCTTGTAACAAGCAGAACTGAATATTTAACATCAGTGTATCTCTGTCTTACAGGAGCTGGATGTCATCCCAGATCTGATGGGAGAAAACTCAAGGTATCTGCTAGAGGAGTGGAACTTCATCCAGATTTCTGTAAGTTCCCATTTTAAGCACAACTTTTCTAAGAAATGAAAACATGTCTGTGTAAATATTCATGATCTGTTCTGGCCAAAGTGAGTGTATGGATTTTCTAAAAGCTTCTAGCATACTTCTTATCCTGCCGGTAATCAAAGAGAAAAACTTATTTGCTTCAAAAGTTGATTCAAAAGATGTAGTTTTTGATTTCCTCGGTCTCCAGGTCAATCGTTCTTGCTTGTCTGAAGTGGAGGCCATAGTGATGGATTTGGAGGCAGCGAATCGGGCTCTTCTCCACCCGATGGTCGTTATTTGGGTGAGTTCAGCTACGAGTCATTGTGATTTTTTCCCCCCATTGTGGTAGATAGAAAATCACAAGAGAAAACACGATCAATCATCTGATGTTTCAGATTACTTTAGCTGCAGCTTCCAGCAGCTAGACCTCTGGTTTAAGGCTCTTTTATGGACTTTAGCCTGACTTGTAGCTGCTAACTAGCTAGCTTTTCACAGTCTGGACCAGCTCTGCTGAAGAGTAGAAGACGCTGTAGTAACGTTACATAAACAGGGACTTTTTACTTCGTCTCTGTTGCAGCAAACCCAACACAAAGCCTTTTAGTAACTATTATACTGCAACTTGAGCTTATCTACACACTTTATGGCTGACTAAAAGTGGATTACTGTTACTGCTGCATTAATGTGTATGCTGCATTTTCCTGCTTTATATCGTTTAATCTTTTGGATAGTTTAATCTACAGCAGTGCATCATATTCTACAAGAACATCATATCTTTGTACTATACGAGTTACACTTGTTTTACAGCAAATGTGTCGGGATATACAGTAAATGGTTTGTATATCGCGGGATAGCCTGAAAATATCAGTATATTATTTATAAACCAGATTGCCCAGCCCTAAAACAATGCCTTGCTTTGTGTGAATTATGCTGGCCTTTCACACACAGGTTTTATCAGTGCAGGAACGACTTGTCTTTTTCTTATTTGACTTTTTCAAATTTATGGCTGTTTTGCTTCAGTATATAACCAATAAATACAACACAGTAGAGATTCACTAGTGAAGTCTAGTATGAACATTCGCTACCGGGTAGTAGGGCTGAACGACTGTGGAAAATAATCTAATTGCGATTTTCTTTTACCAATATTGCAATTTAATATTATTTTTAAGCTCATTATCTTCTGTATTATTCAAAACGGACAAGCAGTAAATCAGTGTATAGTATGACCAACACAGTATTAGCTAGATTAAACATACATTGTTCTTTCTTGTGAGTCAGGCTTGTGTTATGATGAAATAAGGTGTTGCATGAATTGCATGAATTATTATTATGAGCAATGGTGGAGATAAAGTATCAAATTTTAATAATATAATTAAAAAATAAAATAAAACCAAGTGATAACTCTCGTGTTTAATAGACAAGCTTAGTAATTCTCCGACTGCTTTATTCTGGGGGGTCATGTGACCAGAGTGTAATCGCATCCTTGGTGATTAGAAAATCTCGTTTTATCACATCGCGATAATACCGCAAATGCAATTAATCGTTCAGCCCTACCGGGTAGACAAAGAGACTTGCACCTGCTCCTGCCCACAGAGCTTGACTGACAGCTGATCTCGGGTTTGTTATTAGCTAGCCTGATGACTGTCATAATATTCTCCATGTAACACCTTTCTGCTTTATCTATTTGGTGTAGCAGCTTCTATCACTCTTAGGAGGGTCAATCATCATGTTTGAGAACGGGCCATAGAATTCAGCCTTTCAACTCTAAAGAGACACATATAGGTAGGTAGGTTTATTGTCACAATATAACAAGTTATAGAGTGAAATTGTGTTTGTAACTACCTTCTGCTACATAGCAGACAATATACATTAAAACAGAATCAATTAAAAAATGGCAAACATAAATAAACTGTCGATCAATTCGAATCAATTGAGCCGTGCTGAGGGTGAATTATAGTTGATAGTCTGATAGCTTGGGGGGAAAAGCTGCTCTGCAGTCTGGTGGTTCGATTCTCCACAGTGACGCATCCACCATTGTGTCTATGAGCAAGACACTTTACCCCTAGTTACTAGTCCAGAGGCGTGCGATCTCAGGTCTGCAGCAGGATCTGGTAAAACATATAGATTCAAATTATTTTATATTTTTATAATGTATATTTATATTTTTGAATATATTTAAAATTAGAGCAGCTGAGAGTTAATAGCTCTGTTTCTATTTGAGGAACAATAACTTAAAGGTGCCATAGAATGCTCATTTTCAGGTTCATACTTGTATTTAGGATTTTCGACTAGAAAATCTTTACATGCTTTAACATTCAAAAAACACATTATATTTCTCATACTGTCCACTGCTTCAGCACCTCTTTCCACCCCCTGTCTAAACACTCAGTTTTAGTCTCTTTAAGGCCCCCCTCCCTGAAAGCCCAACTTGCTTCTGATTGGCCAACTTTCCCAAGCACAGTAGAGGGGCGGGGCTTACCTGTGCTGCGCTGAATCAAGGCCTGTTATGCGAGAGTACAAGTTTGTTAATTGGTTTTAGTGAAACTGGATCAGAGTCGATGGAGAAATATTGTGCGGTTATCCCTTTGATGTCCTTCAGCTGCTCTACCTCCATTTTTGCTGATTTACGGAATTTATATGGCATCTTTAAAAGTTAGTAATCTGCACTTATTACAGGTTTTGTCAGTTTCTAATTATGAGTAATTATTTAACTAATTATAATTATAACTGTAAGAACAAGCTGTTTTTACATTCCAAGGGCTAAATGTTTTCTCAAATATCTTTGTGCACACACATCAGGGAAAAGTAGTGGAACAGCCTGCATAAGGTTTTTTATCAGACCTTGAAAATCTACTCAAAAGTCAGTACGTATATAAAGAGCAACTGTAGGTCTGTGTGTTCTGGAAGTTAATCATATCTTAGTATCATTACCTACTTAAAATTATCTTTTTTTGCATGTTTGTGAATAGGGACATCTGGCACAGGACAGATGCAGTTTCGTTATCCAAACCTGTTCTTTTTCTCCGCTTGTAAAAAACGTCACCTGTAGCCCAGCCTACACCTCCAAAGAAAGCGCTGCAGCTCGGCCTTGCTTACTGTTCGCCCGGCTTCAAACCCCAGCATCCAGCACTAACAGAAAAACCTAAAACTAACTGATCAAATCTGCTCCAAGAAACATGTAAATGTTTGTGATAAAGTCCAGTTTGCCCTCGTTCAATTTGGAAAAATTGACCTTTTCAAGTAACACACAGGACAAAGGCCAAAGCATTGCCAACATTGCTGTATTACTCCATTGAAGCCTCTTATCTTATGTGTGTGAGTTTTACTGAGATTTCAATAAAGATTGAAACACAAGTTCACGCGTGTAAATACACTGTCTGAAGCTGGGGTTTTTGTGGGATCAACTCCCTACCACAACAGAACAAACCCAGGTTCCCACAGCTCCCACTGCCAACATGTTTCTATTAATTTCTATCTTGTTCTGTTTTGTTCTATTCTGTTTTGTTCTTTCATATTTCTATTATATTATCGACAACAATTTACTCTTCTCCACATATTCTGCTCTACTCTACTCTACTTAATAAATAAACTTTTCTATTTTGTTCTCTTGTACTCGACTGCGCTCTATTCTATTTTGTTCTGTTCTGTTTTAAATTAGATTATAATATTATACACAAGATTTATCAACAACCATTTTGATTGAATTGGAAGTGTGATAATCATCAATCATTAAGCCAAAAAGTAGCTGGTTCCATATTATCATATACCCAGATATAAGGATTTGCTGCTTCTCTTTGTAAATTGAGTACTACTGTGTCTTGGACTGTTGGTTGACCATAAAGTGTAAGCCAGTTTAGTGTGTTTTTAAAAAAGGGAAACAATCCAGTACTTGAACAGATCACACAATGTTTACTTTTCCCTCCCGGCTAACCTGATTTCACGGTCATGTTAGAATCTGTGTGAACTCAGTCTGGGGAAGTTGTGACTACGAGAAACGTGAAGCAGCCTCAGAGTTTCTCAGTTGTAAGTGATGAGGCTCAGTTCACCATCAAACTGCTGTTGTTAGATTGCTCACATACCCAGTTATTTATGGCAAGTTTGATCACATGGTAGTAATCAGCGGAGGGATAATTGAGTTGGAAGTGTCGGTGGTAGCCTCGAGGGCTGAGAAGCAGACTGGCTGATGAAGGTCACTGTTTTAAACCGTCTGTGAAAAACGGTGCCTTGGCCATGAGCAGGGTATTCAAAGAAAGAACCCCATGTTGTTGATATTACCACCATATGTCTTAGGTTGTTTGATATCATTAATCGGTGATTGATGTTTAGTCAAATTGAAGTTCAAGTTTATTTATACAGCACATTTAAAAACAACCCTAGTTGACCAAAGTGCTTTCCAGGTTCAGAGGTACTCCAGTGGTTATTATATAGAAAATGGCAGGTTATAATCAATTGTCTGGACACCTCAGACATATTTCCGGTTTAACCACTGGTCATTGCACGAGGTGTATCAACCTAATTGATCAAATCCATTAAACAACAATACATATCTTTCTTAATACCGTTTAAATTCACTTGTGAAACTAAGCGTTAAAGAGTTACAATGTCTACAAATAAACCAAATTAGTGATAGAAATCAAAGAATTTAAACACATCCACCCTTTTATTGTCATTGGTAACTGGTGTTTGTAAGTGCAATTGTAAACTCCACCTTGTTTATTGTTTTATTTTAGTGGGATACCATGTTGTGCATCATCATCATCAGTTCGATTATTAATATAAAATGGTCAACAGTATTGCTTTCATTCAGTTTGACAGCATCACCAGCGAGCTACTTACAGCAGCAACCTCTTTGTAAAACTCAGTGTGTGCATGATAGCAGCCGCACCTCTAAACAAAGACCAGGACATGTCTTGTGGGGGCATTTTAATTCAGTTCATTTCAATTCAGCTTTATTGGCATGAATGTAAAACAACAAACCAACATTTCTTTCTGGTTGTTGAGGCTACTGATGAAGTTTGTTACCTCCTACAGTGGATTTCTGGTGAGGCTATAAAAATCACTCTCTCATTATGAGGATTGACACCACAAAGCCAGGCACTGTCTGCTGATGTTTTAGATCACTGAATAGATTTTCTGCTATCATATGCTGCTGTAGTTGCTGTATAAATATCTTGACGTGATGCCTTGTTGTAAATAACTAAAAATGCTCTGTGCACTTTACAAAGTATTGTACATCTCCAAGAGCTATTTGTAATAGTGTTTTTACAGTCTGTCCCTCCTTTAACCTTCCCAGTAGACCTGCCCAGTGGCCAAAGGTAGACATGAGTGGTTTTAATTAGTAGTTTGATGTGGCAAGATGTTAACGTATGTTGCTCAATGAATATTGAAGTGAAATAAAACAGTCATCCTTACTTAAGACCACGAAATTTACTACGATTTAATTCATTCCTTGTGCATGTGTGTTTGTATTTTGGATAGTGTCTCCACAAATGTCACTGTGGCATCTGCGTTTCAGTAGACTCATACTGTATGAACTAGTGGTCTGGAGGTTTAACGCTGGCTAATGTGCTGAATAATTGAAGTTCACCTGATGACAGCGAACATCTGATTGATATTCATGTATAATTGTAATAATTGCTAATTTTGAGCAGATTTCTTGACACATTTGAAACGATTCTCCTGATGATTGCTTCTCCCTGCCATGGTTTTGAAAAGAATATGACAAAATAATTGGAGTGAATAAATTTTCACTGTGGGATGGTTATGGAAATCAGCTAAGCTTTGGATATTCTTAGGAATGACACAGTGATGTGAACCAATGTGTCTGGGTTACGCAGCCCTAATTGGAGAAAATAAACCCCAGAGGCCCTAAAGATTTGCAATTGAATTACAGAATCATTATATCCTCAGACAGGACTGTGTATCATTCAACCTCTGTTTACTCTCAGCACAGCTTCTCTGAACCTTAAATTCACAGGCCCATTGAGTTGCAACATGTTTAAACGACTGCTTGAAAAATGAACTGTATATGAGATCCTCTGTATTGGCAAGTGTTTTCTGATTGGGCGCGGTGGCCTTTTGTTTTGATAGGTGCATTTGAGTGGTTCAGATGAGCTGTCCATTAGCGGGAGGATGGTAGAGCCAAAAGCTATCATGGACCTGGCCTCAACAGCCAAGCTCCGAAATATTCTTCTCTATGGCATCCAGCTTTGTCAGTCAAAGGTAAGCTCTTAGTTTTTCCTCATTGTCTTCTGTTTTTCTTTTATTTCTTCCTAAAGTGAGCTCAGAGTTCCTGTGCTCTGAACTCATATATAACATATTTTAGAGAGGCCAAACAAAACACAGTGGGAAATGTCTTGTTCCAATCTCTGTGCGAGCGGGAATAAATGTGTGCCTGCTAGTGTGATTAAGAGGGCAAGATGTCAACTTTTAACCTTCTGCCATATGTGTTGCGTCGTATTCAAAAGGATACAGAGTTGCTTCAGGTCTAAAGCTGCTCAACCACCGCACATGTAGACGAAACCTCTACAGTTGAGCTGTCTGTCACGGGAATCTGCTGCGAATCCCGCCAAGTGTGCACTGGAGTCATCAGGGCGGATGCGGTTGACCTGAAATCCATTACTGACTCCTCAGTAATTACAGGATTATGTAAGGTGGAATTATTCATCCAGCACAGTGAGAAACGTCAGGATTTATTCTACCAAACCCGTCAAGTCAAATCACAACATTTTGGGCCTGATGTGCAGAGCAAACCTTAGACAAATGTTGAATATTCATGACGTTTTTGACCTTAAATATTACATCCATCGTGATTAATGTTCATGACTGACTGCAGCAGTGTGATAAATAAGGTTTCTTGGCAGCCACATCACTTAACAAATCAGTAAAAGCCCCTGTGCCTCAGGCGAGGGGATGTTTGAGCAGGTTGGGTTTATTTTCTCCTGCGAAAGAAAATGTGAACGATGAGCTGAACTTCTTCTGTGGTCAGTGATTCGGCATCATGCGTTGGACCTTGAAGTCAGAGTGCCGCATAATTAAAACGAGATGTATTCTTGATAGTGAGACGTGTGATAGGCTGCTGGTCCACATATGACTTTGTTCAGCTATCGGATGTTGGACATCATGGTTTCCTTCTGAATTATGAAGATTAAGGCTGTTAATTAGTCATCCTGCTCCGGCTCCTCAAAGTTCAGAACAGGGAAAAGGGGAAGGGAGTGGACGGAGATAATGCGTGTTACACCATGATAAAATGCTTATCGTTATGAGATAGTGGAACAGTAACAGACTGCCTTGTATAAATCACTGTTAGCCTTTTGTTATAATGAGGATAATTCTTCCCAGATGGCCTTATTCATACTTACTTGCCTGCCAGCACTTTGTCTATCAGCCATACAGTATGAATGTTGCTCACAAATTCTAAGTGTGTTTTATTTCTTTGGCTTTAATAAAAAAGGATCAGACGGCAGGCAATAATGCACACATAGTGAACATTTTCAGGTATGAGTCTGATTGGTGAAAGATGCATTCAATCAATGCAGATGGCTTGTTGTACCTAAAAACACAGTTTTTCTTTTTTCGTGTTTCTTGCTTTAACCCTTATGCCTTACTAGGGACATTTTAAAACATGAAAAACTACCCTATGAAAATCCTAAACATCTGAGATGACACTGCGACTATATGAGTGAGGATCTAACTTAGGACTAGGCACAAGTCAGCATTTTCAACATTTAGAGGATGATTTTCAGCTTGATCACATGAAGGAAAGGGAAACTGCTGCTGTCACAATTTTAAACATGTTCTTTCTGTGACATTTGACAGTTAATGCGCTTATGCAAGATCAACACAATTTGAGTTTATCATGTTTTCAAACATTGACCAAACTAGGGGTGGCTCCTAAAAGTCTATGATTCAGATTATCTACAGTGGGGGAAATAAGTATTTGACCCCTTGCTGATTTTGCAGGTTTGCCCACTTACAAAGAATGCAACAATCTACAATTTTAATCATATGTACATTCTAACAGTGAAAGACAGAATCCCAAAGAAAATTCCAGAAAATCACATCATATGAATTTATAAAAATTGATAACCATCTGATGAGGAAAAACAAGTATATGACCCCCTACCAAACAGCAAGTATTCTGGCTCCTACAAGCCAGTTAGTCTTTCTTTAAGACACAGCCCCAATCCCAACCAATTATCTACATCAAATACACCTGCCTCACCTCGTTACCTGTATAAAAGACGCCTGTCAATACCCAAACAACCAGCATCCAACATCACCACCATGGGCAAGACCAAAGAGCTTTCTACGGACATCAGGGACAAGATTGTTGATCTGCACAAGGCTGGGATGGGCTACAAGAGAATCGGAAAGCAACTTGGAGAGAAAAGATCAACTGTCGGTGCAGTTATCAGGTAATGGAAGAAGCACCACACCACCGCCAACCTCCCTCGGTCTGGGCCTCCACACAAGATCTCGCCTCGTGGGGTGTCCCTGATCATGCGAACGGTGAGGAATCATCCCAAAACCACAAGGGGGGAACTGATGAATCAACTGAAGGCAGCTGGGACCACAGTTACAAAAGAAACGGTTGGTAACACACTACGCCGTCATGGATTGAAATCCTGCAGCGCACGCAAGGTTCCCCTGCTCAAGAAGAAACATGTACAGGCCCGCATGAAGTTCGCCATTCACCACCTGGACGACTCAGAAGAGGCCTGGAAGAAGGTGATGTGGTCAGATGAGACCAAAATAGAACTTTTTGGCCTCAACTCAACTCGTCGTGTTTGGAGGGCAAAGAACACCGAGTACAACCCAAAGAACACCATCCTCACCGTCAAGCATGGTGATGGCAACATCATGCTTTGGGGGTGCTTTTCAGCCAAGGGGACGGGACAACTCCATCGTATTGAGGGGAGGATGGACGGGGCCATGTATCGTGGAATTCTGGACCAACATCTCCTTCCCTCAGTGAGAGAGCTGAAGATGGGTCGAGGATGGGTGTTTCAGCACGACAACGACCCTAAGCACACCGCCAAACCTTGTCACCAACTATAAAAACCGTTTGACATCTGTGCTGGCCAATAATGGCTTTTCTACAAAATATTAACATGCTGTTTGTCCAGGGGGTCAAATACTTGTTTTTCCTCATCAGATGGTTATCAATTTTAATAAATTCATATGATGTGATTTTCTGGAATTTTCTGGGGATTTCTTGGGATTCTGTCTTTCACTGTTAGAATGTACATATGATTAAAATGATAGATCGTTGCATTCTTTGTAAGTGGGCAAACCTGCAAAATCAGCAAGGGGTCAAATACTTATTTCCCCCACTGTATTAAGAAGAGAGTCTTATTGCAAAATGACCTAACCACAAAACTAACGTAGGTGGGTAGAAGGTAATGAAAACTGAGAGCAGCGAGATGGCGGACAATGCGAGGCAGGGTGGCTAAACTCCCGTCGGTCCCGACAGATTCTTCGCCAACCTAGCAGGAGAGTACATCCCGTGGTGCGCTAGGATTTTATAACGATGACCAGAACGTACATTTCTCTGACTGTGTGGAAATCTAATTTTGCACATCACAGATGAAGAACAGAGGCATTAAAACGCATGTCTTGCAGGTAAAACACAAAACTAATGTAGGCAACAAACACCTCCTGGTGAAACAAAAACTGTGCACAGTTCAGAGCCATAATCTGTGAACATTTGAAATATGACTGCTGTTACTGTGAGATATGCTCCCTCATTACCACCAGTGAGGTGTCCATTAGATCAGACTGTGATTGTACTGGCCAGCTTCCAACGTGTGAATGTGAAATCCTCGATAGTGTCTATATTGTCTGTAGTTGTCACTATTGTTGTTATTATTACTGCTCCTTGTTTCCGGCACACAGCTTGACAACGCTTTACAATGCCGTTAGTAGGGATGGGGATCATTAATTTTTATTGATATCGATACCCTTATTGAGACTGCTCAACAATCCGATTCTTTATTAATACCACTATCGATACTTTACTATTATTTAGTGATGGTTATTTGGTAAGACCAGACCTAACTGGCATGAGGTACGCCTGCACACTATGAGGAAAATATTCAATTTGCCATAACGTTATATATTGAAATGACATATCACTTGCGATAAATAAACATATATTGAAGTGTACATATTAACTGCCTGGTTGTTTATAATTTAATATTTTAACTACAGCTAAATGTTGTTTCTAGAGCAGCAACATTAATGTTTACAACATCAAAGTAACTCAATAACTTTATCTGACATCCCAAGTAGTGAGTGACAGTTAGAAAGAATAACATCAGTGTGTATCAGTCCCTCCTCCTCTCTCGCTGGCTGCAGGTAATGTTACCAGGTAGGAGGAGGAGCGGCTGGTTTGTCTCAGCCAGCAGCTGAGTTTTTAAGACTACAGACCAGTCTGTTCTCCAGACAGACAGCTTTCTATTTAGCTTGTGTTTAACATTTGGCTAATGCCAAGCTAGCGTTAGCTGTGCTTGTATAAAAAATACAGGATGAGATACTGAGGACAGAGATGATTAAATTAACCATTTTTACATCTTTAACGTTACCTTACAGACAGGTGTATTGATAAAGTATTGTCTTTTTACTTGCGAAGGTTTTATTGCACGTACTTACAGTAACGAGCGTAGCTGTCATCAACTAACGTTACAGTAGTTTGGAGCTAACTTAACCCTCACCGTATTCCACCGTGATGGCGCCGCCTCTCGCTCTGCTGCCGTGTGTGTGTGTGTAGGAGCCGGCAGAAAGCAGGCAGAGACTGCAGCCTGATGATTTCAAATTAAATCACATTTGACGCTCGAGACATAACGTTACATCGGGTCTCGATCCCCATCCCTAGCCGTTAGTGTCGCTTTTTGGCTAATTGTTGGCGCCATGGATCGATAGCTTTTTAACCAAGAATCTGCTATTAATGATGCCAGACCAGAATCAGTCAACTCAGCAGAGTGGGTGCATTCCCAGGCAAATGATATCCACATGTACCAAAGAAAGTATACATTTCTGGAAATAGGCTTATTTGTTTTCTTGCTACTCTTTGATGAAAAGATTGATAGTAAGGCTACATTTAGACTGCATGCGCAGAAGAATAACACGACGTCACACGCAGCATGCTGTCATACAGAAGTACACAAGCCACAGAGGTTAGCTCCAGTTAGCTCATACTTGCTCATCCACCCAATTTTCAT